TACTGTTCGCTTGACTCAATTATCTCTATCTTCAATCTATCTATCACTGGCTTTATTTGCTGGCTTATATACTAAAAAAGAGGGCACCTGGCAAACACTTGGGTATTCACGAGGTTCCTCAATAAGTCATGATCCTTCTAGAAACTCCAGCGCGCATGCTCCCAGCGTCACGTGACTTCCGCTGTCATAACAACATGATTCATGGTGTGGAGGCATCAGAACAGAAAAGGGTTTCTGATAAATAGATGTTTCTACATTACCTTGTAAATTCCTTTTTACTAATACATCTAGGAAAGGCAAGTTATTAATTTTCTTAATTTTATAAGTAAATTGTGCAGATGGTTCTATACTATTCAGTGAGCACATAAACTCAGTTAATGCCTTATTACCACATTTAAATTTTTATTTCTCTTTGCAAATTCTAAAGCATTCTTAACTATATATTTATTTTTATTACTGAAAATGAACACTTTGCTATTTGTTATTGGTTTTACGTATCTTTGAAAGTGCATAAAATCTTGGAGTAATGAAACTAGCTGAAATTAACCTTTTTTTCGCTACATCTGTTAAAGTCAAACAGTTTTTAACACTTGTTTTCACTAATTCATGATACTTACTTGTAGGGTTATGTTTAAGATTTTCATTTATATCCTCCACTAATATGCTATCAACTCCCTTCACGTAGTCACATTTATTAAATATTACAGTTTGTCCTCTTGTTACAAAAGTGGCAGTGTCACGCTATGAATTTCTCGAATGATCGGGGAGGCCCGAGTGTATTTGAGATGCTCTTTGTTAGTATATAAGCCTGGCAGAGAAGCCAGTGATAGACAGATAATTAAAGAAGCGAACAGTAGTTACGGTAATATAAAGTGTGTGTTTTGTACTCGTAGAGAGTGAAGTTATCGAGATTGTGAATTGCTGTGATTTATAGCATGTATTATAAAAGTAATTAAGCTTAAATTGACGAGAAACATACTGACTGTGGAATTACTGTGTTCTAAAGTTTGTATCGGGAAAGAATAAACTGGTTAAATCAAGAAAGCACTTGTATCGCTGAGGTTCTTAGGAAAGAATTTCTACCGGAAATTAACAAACAAGCAGATATGTAACACTCCTTTATCAGCTTTACAAATAACGACATGTTCGTTTTCACTTAATGATTTTATGGTCTTTATATCAATATTTTATTTCTTTAACTCAGGGTTGAATTAAATAAGAGATGAAGGTTTGGCAAATATTTTTGAAAAAATGTGGGGGTGACCTTCTCTAAAAAGTTCACGTGGGAATTATAAACCTGTACATTGGTCACATGACCTATTTAAAGAAAAAGTATAAATAGTACACAATTATGTTTTACAACTCTCTTCTGAAGATGATGTTGCAACGTTGAAACGTGTAGTCAACTTTTTAGTGGTCATATATTGACCTTAATTAAAATGTTTTAACATAGTGTGTTATATATTATTTTAACATTATACACTAGTGCCAAGAAATAATACTCTGTTCTAAAGATATTTCTTTTTATAAAAATAGTTAGAAAGTATCACTGTACATTAAGAATCAATGAATTGATGTTTTATAAGTTTCCAGTGTCATTAATAAAGATGAAAAGTAAACAGGCTAATGTCTCTTGCTGAATAGGAAGGAGTCTTTATATGAGTTGTCTGTAGAAGTTAGTTTTGTGTCAGTTTGTAACTTTTAATGAAATGTATTATGTAGAAGAAAGAAACATGTAATAGTTCATAGAGAACATGTGATAATTTTTTGTGCAGGTCACAACTGATCTCCATCACACTTGTACCTCTGGTCATACGGGTACATCTGCGTCAGCTCCACTAGCAGCAGGCATATGTTCACTTGCCTTACATGCTAAGTATGTGTTTCTCTCTTGATAGCCAAATAAAATTAAACGTATGTAAGCATTGCGATAATTTTTTATAAACTTTTGCTTGAAACATAAAAGTGTTTTTGGAATAATAATCAGTATTTATCCCTTCCAAAACAACACTTACCAAAGCTAAACTTCAAGAGAATATATATTTTAAACAACAACAAAATTCAGGTGAACTGAGTAGCTGCTCTTCTTTCCAGATAATTGTTACAAAAACATGAACCAGTGTGTGAAATTTTATGTTTCACATATTTAACGAACTGTGTCAGTGTTTAGTTCCATTAATATAAATAACATTTAAACATTGTTTCAATAAACAATTTCAGATTAAGCAATTACATATATTTATTTCTATAAGAAAAGGGTGAGGGATCTGTTAAATTTATTAAAATATCACAGTTTAGATTATAAGGTGAATACAAGGATATTATAGTAATATTTTTTTCCCAAGAGTATTATTAATGTTCTATCAGGTGCAATGAAACAAATGTAGTGGAAGTATTTTTTTACTTTGTTATATCCTTTGGTAGAAGTAGTGAAAGAGTAAGAATAAGCTAAAGTTTCCTGTTTGTCTATATGTGGAATGTACTAACATTATGTGTTTTGTCACATATTATAGTTTTATCTCTCTGAACGTTATAAAAGAAAGGAAATATGAAATATATCTTATTTTATTTGCATTAATTTCTTATGCTGTTTTTATTATAAATAATATGTTTTTGTTTTATTTACTAATCTTCAGAATTTTGCAGTAACCAACTTTCTTGGCGAGATATGCAGCACATCGTGGTGAGGACAGCTCGCATGGCAAACTTGAAAGCTCCAGACTGGAAGATCAATGGAGTTGGAAGAAATGGTTTGTATTTTATAAAATTAATTTGTTAGATGATTAGTTAATATATTCATGTGTGCCTTTACACTGTATTGGCAAAAGTGTTGGAATAGTGTATCGTAAGCTAATAATAAGCCTGTTCTCGCTGAATATTCATGTAACTCTTAAGTCACACTGTTACATATAGCTTATTAAGATGAAAATTGCTACATTCAACTAGTTGGAGTCAAAACATCGTGTAGAATGGAGCTCATTGAACTTGAAAGAGGAGTTATTATTAAATGCAACACTGGTGGTATAGTACCAAGAAATTTTGACTCATCTATTTGAGTAATCTGTAGAAAATATTAAAGATTACATAACTTACTAATGTGAAGTATTATCCTTCACTTGCAAACTTGGAAACAAAACCACATGTTTGTCATTAACCCTTTGCATAAAGGTGTGTCTTTTCTTGGTGAATATCATGACCTTTTAGTATTACAATGAAAATTTAATTAAACAACTGTATTATTGGTGGCTGTCAGTAAATATGGCATGAAAATGTAGTTTATAATTCAATTGTATATATTAACGAAGTTTCAACTTCTTCTTTTCAAAAAGAAATATTTAAATAATCATCAGTCTTCATTTTCCTGTGTCACTTGACATGTCTGATCTTTGATTTCTCTATTTTAGAATTTTCTAACTTCAGAAATGCAAAGCCCTGCAGTTCCAAACAATTAGAAACATATATAATACATAATTACAACCAAGAATCTAAGATTTGAACCTCTTACCTTTTTGATTTACTGAGATATCAATAAATTTGTCAAACCCAACAGAGAAGCCCCTCTTTCTCTGACTTTCAAGATTGCTTGCTAATCAACTTTACTTCGCTGATAGGCATGTTTATAACCAATGGAAAAAGTAGATGATTCTCAACTTTACGTTGGTGACAAACCCAAGAATCAAGAATGCTGTTAGTGTTAAAAAATCAGAGATTAAAAGTTTGATATTCATTTAGGAGATTCCAGAGATTATGTATATTGAATATGATGAAGTACATTTATTCTTAGCATGAAAATCTCCTTTTTCTCAGACTGACTTGGTAAAGATTTTGGAAATTCATTGATGAATCTGTAGTTAAAAATTGTTTTTGTCTACAACAGACTGCTAATGTTTACTAAAAGCTTGCCAAATTTTATGAAGATACACTTAGTAAGTTCAGATTTATAGTAAAAAAGTAGTATGTATTGCTTCACAGTTTCTCCCTACTAAGGAATTTCATGGATGGACTAAAGCCCAAAAGTCATGCATGTAAGGCAATGAATGTTATGTGCCTTGAATATCTAAACTGGGATGAAGAACTCACTATTTGTTTTAGGTCCGGATTTGATACCAATCTGATCCGATCGTTATGATAGGAAATTAAGGTTAAAAGTATATTTCATTCTCCTTCGGGGAATGAAACATAACCAGGGGCGGTCAGAAACTTCTGTTTCTCTTCACCCCACTACATAATTAGAAATAAGTGGCTGAGGCTTTTACGAACTAAATGCCTACATGAGTGGAGGTTTTAACTGATAATTTTCAACAGATAATTTTCAAAGTGACAAGCTCACAAGCTGAGGGAAGAGCTGCGAGGAGACATGGAGAAGAAGAGAAAGAAGGAGAGCTTTGTCGAGTTGTATGTTGACTACAGAAGTTTTCTTTCTTTCTCTTGAACTTGAGTGTTGGATGACCATGTTGCTTCAGGTGTTTGTAGAGCAAAGCAGGGAGATGTAGATCGAGTACATCCGTTGTTGACTAAAATATTAAGATTAAACTGATTACAGAGTATTGGCTAGCAGTTTAGGATAAGGCTTTACTATTTAAACATTGACAGAGAACTAATGAGAACTAAAGAGTTACATTTAACCTGAGATGGTCCTTCTCAGGGCTGGGATCTATGGATTCAAAGCATAAGGAAAAATTTTGCTGTGGGAGGAAATGGGAGTACCCCGAGAAAACCCACTTTCATGGGCAGGATGCCGAATAAAATACCCTGTCTGTGCCTGGAAAATGCTGTGGAAAAAGCCATATTGTTAGTTTACTTGGCTTGCAATCTATGTAGCTACTGGTGATGCTTGAAGGCTAAAACAGGCTGGCTGGGTGAAGAGGCAACGTGATTCTCTGTATAGTCGATTCTTGGTTTAGCTGGATTGGGCTACGGTTGATTAGTCGATGGAACGGAACCTTTTGTAACGAGATAGTGCTAGGTGATGTGGGGGCTTCGGTTGGTAGTACGTCTGAAGTTCTTAACGTGGCTCTTGTCAGTCTCTTGGAGTCTATGTTGTTGAGGTCTTCAGTCTGAATTTTTTGGTCTTTCTTGGCAGTCCTGGTCTGTGTTTCTTGGTGTAAAAGAAAGAGGCTGTTGGTAGAGCTAACATGGTTGATAGAGGTGACATGGTTTGTGTCTGCTGAGAAGTTATCTGGAGGTTGGTTGTTTGAGTACTGGAGTTTACTTTCACGGTTGTTTTAATGGAAGTGGAAGGCGGTTCTGTTTCGGGATCGGGTGAGGTGGCAAAAACAGGATACAGTCGATTTTGATGTGTCGTGGGTTTGTTAGTGTATGATTCATGACCTGGAGGTTTGAGAGGAAGAATGGTGGAAGGTTGGTAGCGTTGTCTGGTTCTTTCAGCTCTGAAATGAAAAAAGAAGTAGAAAAAAACCACTAGTTAGCAAGTGTTCTGCAGTGTATTTAGAGGTAGTAACAATCTTGACGTATTGAGTTGGCAAGTTCGTGATTTTTGATTTGATGCGTTGAACTGCATGGATTGTATAGTCTGGTATGGCCTCCAAGCTTGTGTGTATGTCATCGGTTGAGATGGACTGGTCGACGTTTCTAAGAAAAACAGAGAAAAGTTGTGAATTAACTCTGGGAGGTTTACAAGTAACTGGT